TTTGGGTTCAAATTTCGGATGAATTTCAAATTTCAGATAAGATTTTCATCCAATCAAATCAAGCCACGTGGCATCTCTATCTTGCCAAATTTTTCTATAAAACCAGAGGCTCACATCATACCTCTCACACCACATCTTTCAATATTTTCATTTCTTAGAGTTTAGAATTCATACTCCATTCATTCTCAATGGAAGAATATAGGAGATGTTTAGAATTACTACTACTAAAATAAAACATGAAACATGAAGTACACTAACTTTAATACAAAACATGAAAAATAAAAATACATAAAAGGTATGCCAACTAATTTAATGGTTTTGATCATTTAACCAATCGGTGTTGCTAGGCCCATCATCTTGGAAAAGTCTTCTTCTCATAACATCCCTCCGTTCTAGCTTCCAATATTGTTTTGTTTCGGGGGACATATGACTTGTATCCATTGCCATGGTTTCCCGATCCGTCTTCTGCTGATCTTTTTTGCGCAAATACTCCTTTTCTCGTGAATGTTCGGCTTGAATTGCCACCTCCATATCTTGGCGTTTCTGCTCCATTTCAAGTCTTACGGAGTTTTGCCTTGCAATTTCCTCCAAAAACTTTGAATTAAAATTGCTTGAATTACCCGCTTTCTTTGCCTTCGCGGCCTTTCGGCCAATGGGCCTTGGTTCTTTTTGGATGGGTGAGTCTTCACTCATAGGGGAATCGAGAGGTGAATCCGATGTCGTTGAATCACGGAGAGGCGTCTCATTTAACACAACTTCGGGACCCGTCGGAATAATTGTGAACCGTTTACAATGTTTCACCACCTCCCAACATTCATGATGGGTGAACTTTTTTTTGCCACCCCCGGTTGCATCGAACCACATCTGTGCTTGAATGAGCTATTTAACAAAAAAAAGGAAATGCAATAACTATTTAAAATATATTGGATATGCAAGTAACAAAATAAAAATAATGGAAATGCAATTAACCTTACAAATAAATTGGAAGTGCAAGAAATATGAAGAAACAATTGGAAATGCAATAAATATTAACAACATAATTTCAAATGCAAGAAATATTAACAAAATATTTCAAATGCAAGAAATATTAACAAAATATTTGAAATGCAA